CCAGCTATTCTTCCCAGCCATATGGCACATGCTCTCTGGTCCTGAAGTGATATAGCATATAAACTAGGAAAGGTTAAAAGAAATGGACCTTAGGAAAACACTACGAGAACTACAGCTGTATGTCATGTAACTCTGCTGTAAAACTGTTCTTTTAACTGTCATTTTTAGAGCCAACATGGTGGGGCACCCCTCCAGAACTGCTACTGAGGAGGCTAAGACAGGAAGCTCATGGGGGGTCCATTTTGCTGTTATCATTGCTATTGCAGATAAGAAGTTGAAGCTTATATTGTATATATGTAAGGGATGCAACATGATGTTTTGGTAAACAGTTACAGGTTAAATGATTTCTATGGCCAAGAAAACCAACATAGCTATCTTTTATCTTACCCCCCTTTTTAGATAAAAATAAAGCACAACTAAGGTTTCCTTTCACCCTTAAATACAGTTTCAATTTCTATTTAAAGACTCAAATGCACACAGGATGTGTCAGACAGTGGCTAGGTGCTGTGCATAAGAAGTCAAAAAAAAAAAAATGTTTGATGAACTAAATGTACTCAAGAAAGCAAAATACAAAGTAACCATGACACTATGTAGCATTGTATTAATTTTAGTGCCGGGGAACTAACTCTTACTTAAAGTTTTTTATTTCATTTCAATTACACCAAACCTGTGTTGCTGTCTACTGTATGGATCTAAAATTAAAAGGGGCTAGCACTGGCTATTTCTACAGTCATTCTGTCTTCAACACCTTCTTCTTGGCAGAGTTCTACTCATGCACTCACAGGATCCCCTCTCCAAGAGAATTCACTGCTTTATCGACAAGATCTCCAAAACATCTTGGTTACTTACTAGGTTACAAATGTTTTACAAATCAGACTCCAATCCTTAATAAGAAAAATACTAGAAGAGAATACTAAGAGACAGCAGCTGCCTCCAGTGAACAAAAACATGGGTTATTAAAATATGGAACCAAGTTGGGCATGGTGCACATCCCTTTAATCCCAGCACTCAGGAGGCAGAGGCAGGAGGATCTCTTGAGTTCAGGGCCAGCCTGTTCTACAGAGCAAGTTCCAGGACACGCAGGGCTGTGTAGAGACCCTGTTTTCTCAAAAAGGCCTGCCTTCATTCCTAAAACTACCAACATAAAGAAATAACTAATAAAAAAGGAGAGAGAATAAAATACCCAAGTGTATATATATAAATTCTAAAAAGTTACCAAACCTTACAGAAACTCTACCCAACAGAGTCCACACGGAAAAGTTACTGTTTGAAAAATATTTACAGCTTCCCCCTTTCCAGGCCACCCAGAGAGATAGGGTGGCTTGTGGTGAGAGGCAGGGACCAGGAAGGCTAACTGGCCTGCCAACCCACCTCTGGGAGGCACAGCGCCCTACACAGTAGTCTCTCGGTTAGTTCTGGCTCCAGGGAAGTGACTTCCACTCCAGGCATCCTCCACGGAAAACACTTTTCCCTGTCACTGAAGGAAGAAAAGCGAGCGGCTGTTGTGAGTGGGGGGGGGGGGGGGGGGGGGGGCGGGCAATAACTCTTTGCAGTCATCCACACCCTTGCCAGTTGGTGGTTACCAGGATCCCAGACACTTCTTAATGCCAGACAAATGCCCCAAGCCTCGGCATGTCTGGCTTGAAGATCTATTCAACTGATAGTCCCCGCCTTTCCTAGGGAGAGCCCCATACTACCCCGCTAATCAAACAAAACATTGTTCTCAGAAGGCAGGAAGAAGGGAAAGGCTTGTCTCTGGGCCACGACGTTTGGGGGTTTATTTAATGCACAACACACACACACACACACACACACACACACACACACACCCTCCCAACTAAAAGGTTTCTACAAACACACACACACACACACACTCACTCACACACACACACACACACACACACACACACACACAAACACTCACTCACACACACACACACACACACACCCCTAAAAGGTTGCTACAAAACTTGGGCTTCCTGAGACGCGGTTGTTTTTGCACAGAGCGTGCACTGTATAAAAATTCCAGGAGGGGGAGGAATCAGAAAGTTGAGAGCCATTAAAAGAGAGAGAAGAAAAAGAAAGAAAGAGAAAGCCCCAGGCACTTGATGCCTGGAAATGATGTAAGACGCAGCCACTCCTCAGTTAGAACCCAACAGCGGCGGGCGCTCAGATCCACCGCAGCTGCTCTCCAAATGTCAACGCCCGCGCCCGGGCAAAGCTTGAAACCCATCCGGGCTGAAGGAGGCCCCTTCTCATCCACATTTTCCCCGGCCACGCTTAGCAACCTGGCAACAGGTAACGTGGCAACCTTTGGCTTCTAAAGCGGCGAGCGGGATAATTTCAGGGAACCAATGGGCTGTTTTCGAGCCAGCTGCACCTCTCCCTCCCGCCCCCGCACCCGGCCTCCTCCCTCCCAATCCAAAGTCTGGGAAAACAAAAGTGTGCTGAGAGCTACCTGCTCTTGGGCGCCCCCCGGTGGCCAAGACCGAAACTGCGGGCACGTGCTCGGAGCTCCGCGGCGATGCCTGCTGGTGCTAAGTGGCGTTGTGGAGGAGTGGGCAGCTGGCCCTGCGGACTTGTTTCCCGTAAAGGGCTGGAATCTACCCAGAATGTCTTCATCTTCGTTGTTGTTTTCGAGACCGGGTTTCTCTGTGTGGCATTTGCTGGCCTGGAGCTCATTGTGTAGCCCAGGCTGGCCTGGAACTCAGCCTTTGCCTCCTGAGTGCTGGGATAAAAGGGGTGAACCGCCACGGCCAGAGCCAGAACCTCTTCATTTTTATCTAAGCACATTAGCAATTTCCCCACCTATATGCTGAGTAAAACCTCTGCACTCGGACCTAGAATCAATGAAGGCAAACACAGGGCATCCCGGAGTGCCAGGCGTGCATGGGCCTGCATGGCAGGTAGCACAGGCGTGGCATTCCTTCCTCCTGAGGCAGATGGAGGAGGATCAGGGTTCAAGACCTAGTCAGACTCTTGTCTTGAAAAAGCATCAACGAAATGGGATTCCTGCTGTGGTGACTCCCATTTCCCCGTTTGTCTTAAGATGTATTCTGTATGCAGACACCTTTTGGGCCTACAGCTTTTTTTTTTTTTTTTTCCCCCTCCCTAATCAGCCCTGCTGGGTTCCTATCTGCATGGATTACTGAAGATTTCCACACTGCCAGACCAACTTCCCAGACAGCAGCCTCCAAGCCCCAGCTACACCCAGGAAAACGCCAGCGGCAGTGTTTTTAGGCTGTCTGATTCTCTCAGATACTGCCTCACCCCTTCCTCTGTTGGACAGGAATGGAAGCCCATAGTTGTGGGCTGCTGTTAGCCCAAGGACCCGGTATTCCTCGGTTCTGCATCTGGAAACCGTACCCGGAAACGGAGAGGTTCAGATCAAAGTAATTGTTCTTTTTCAGAAACTTCCATTAATTAACTAAATTAGAGGACACTGAAGGATGCTGGGGGTGGAGGTGTCTCTGCAGAAGGTTCAGGTCCGGGGGTTATGGTCTGAGCCCTGTAATAGACTTTTAGTGAGGTTTGACAATCAATTAAATAATACTAGGAGCTGAAAGTTACCATATGTGAAAACAGCTCATGCCTGAAACCATAGACATTTGGGTAGTATTTGCCCAGACCATTTAAGGTCAAAGATGAAAGCTTGGTTGTCTCAATAAGCATGGTTTGGCCCCTGGCTAATGTGAATGGCAGGCAGCCTTTCTAGAGCCAGGACACCTGTGTTGAAATCAGGACATTTCAGTCTTCAAGATTACTCATTTTCAAGGCGGGAGTGTTGTTCCCAGTTGGGAATTTGATCTGGACTTCACACTCCATTTTCCCAGCTTTGCTAACAGGTGCTGTTGAGTCATCCGTGCACACAGAATGACTACCCTGGCCGTTTCATCAGTGGATTTCACTTCCATTTGTTCTGTGACTTTTTATGGAGTGATTTTACCATTGACTCAGATCACTTCCTCTTAGACTTAGGGGATTGTTTTTTTTTTTTTTTTTTTCCCTTCTTCTTCAGCATTTGTAATCATGTGTGTGTTTTTCAAAATATGTCCCAGACTGGCTCGAAGGTCTTCCTGAGTTGAATGGACTGTTTACAGAAAGGGAAGATTCAGGGCTCAAGGTCAGGGTTAGAGAATTATATAAGGTTTCCTGTTTGGGCAGCTGGTCTACTAACCCCTCAGTTAGGGCAGACTGAGTTTTGATGAAAGACAGCATGCCAGCTGGGTGTGGTGGCATACACCTGTAACTCTGCACTTGGGAGCAGCAGAAGTCCAAAGTCATGCCATCCATAGTCATGGAGAAAAATTCAGAACTCCTAGGAGACTGGTGTGGAAATGATGCCAAGAACAAGGGGAGTGATGTCTTTGACACTCTCATCGGCCAGCTAGCTTTCATTTCTCTCCAGATGTGGATTCTCAACCATTTGGCTGATGCTATATGTCTATTAACATTTTTTTTTCCTAGCCAGACTGAGAGAAGGACATCCATTCACTGAGGAGGTATGAAGTACACAGACAGGCATTCTTGTCCGTCTCATCCACAGATGACACTGCAGTTCCTAGAACAGGTGTGTCACAGTCATGCCATGGTAAATATTTGTTCCATGAAGGGATGAATGAGAATGGGAACACACTTCCTGGAGAGAAAGGAAATGGGACTATGACAGCAAAGCCATTCTGTGTGGCCTTGGGTCTCACGGTCCAGCTTCCCCTCTTCCCCCCTGTAGCCACACCTGTGGTTCCACTCGCCCTGAATGGAAAGTATCTGGAAGTGAAGTGCAAACGGAGCCTGCACCCCACATGCACAGCCTTTTATCTGCTGTTCTCTATGCAAAGTATAACAACGATGGGGTTGTCCTTCTGTATGTGTGTTTCTCTCATTTGTTGATAATAAAACACTGTGGCCAATGAAGCAGAAAGATGGGCGGGACTAGGGCGAGGAGAATTCTGGGAAAGTTAGGCAGAGAGGGCCTGTTAGAAAAGTCCCCATGTAAGCCACCAAAGGAGTAACAGGGCCAAACCCTAATCTGATACTTAGGTTAATAGAAATGGGTTAATAATTAAGACAGCTAGACAATAAGAAGCCCTAGTCCTCAGCCAACAGTTTCATAATTAATATAAGTCTTTGTGTGTTTATTTAGGGCCAAATGGCTTAGGGAAACTCCGAAACATAACAACTTGTAGCATGGGTTCTAAAGGTCTTAATGATAGAAATCCAGAGTCAGATATAGGGGGAAATGTTGAAAGATCAGAGAGATAAAGCAGCAAACCACAGCCACATTTACCTTGCTAACTTCCCAGACAAAAAGAGACTGAGTTCCTATCTCCTCCCGCCTTATCACTTCCTCTCTCACCCAGCCTTCTCACTTCCTGTCTGTCTGCACAGACCTCCAGACCTCTATGGTTACCTAGTGGCTAGCTCCACCCCCTGATCTTCAGGCCAGTTTTACTGTTATAGTACAAACAAGATATCACCACAACAACTATTTGCTTGGTGTATATCCACACAATCCTAGCATGCAAGAGACTAAGGCAGGGGGATTGTAAATGGAAAGCTAGCCTGGGCTACAAGTTGAATACTTGTCTCAAAACTAACATCTAGGGCTGGAGAAATGGTTCAACGGTTAAGAGCACTGGCTGCTCTTCCAGAGGTCCTGAGTTCAATTCCCAGCAACCACATGGTGCCTCCCAGCCATCCATTATGAGATTCTGGTGTGCAGATATACATGGAAGCAGAATGTTGTATACATAATAAAATAAAAATAAAATCTTAAAAAACAAAAAACTAACATCTAGCCAGGCAGGTTTGCACATACTTTTAAGCCCAGTACTCCAGAGGCAAAGGCAGGGAGATCTCTGTGACTTTGCAGCTTTTCTGGTCTACACAGAAAGTTCTAGGCCACCAAGAGTTACAAAGTTGCCGGGGCAGTAGTGGTGCATGCCTTTAGTCCCAGCACTTGGGAGGCAGAGGCAGGTGGACCTCTGTGAGTTCGAGACCAGCCTGGTCTACAACAGCTAGTTCCAGGACAGCTTCCAAAGCCACAGAGAAACCCTGTCTTGAAAAAAACATAAAGAGTTACAAAGTTGACCCTGTCTTAATATATATATATATTAATATATATATATATTAACATGGATGTATATACACACATATATAGTCTATATCATCAGTAGAGTGCTTAGCTGGCATGGGGGAAGGCCCTGAGTTTGATCTCTAGGTCTTCCAAAATAAAAAACCAATATTTACAAAGCATTTGTATTAGCAGTTAGAAGTAATCTTAGAGTACGCTGTATACAGGTTATATGCAGACACTATACAGGAGACTACAGCAGCTGAATATCCCTATAAACATGCAGGGTAAGAGGGTATTCCAGAATCAACCCTCCAAGAGGATACCAAATCTGTTGTCACCGGTGCTCACTTCTGTTGGCATTAGTGAGTACTGGCTAAGTTCAACTATGAATAGCCAACTTTCTCCACGGAACTAGTCTGTCAAACCCCAGTGCCATGAAGTTGAGGTGACTGCTCAGCGTAGAGCATGAACCTTGAATGTCTGAGGGCTAGAGTTCCACTGCCAGCATCCTCAAAATGAAGAATGTAGTTTCCACTCTCACCTGTGGTTAACTGGCCTAACATCCTCATTTGTCACACTCAGGTTGGGACTGGAGGCTGAGTGGCCCAGAATCCCCTATCCCTGTCAATGCATTTCTTCCCCTTAGTTCTTTACACTCATCAGTGTTGGGCTTTTGTTTCTTGTAGGCTTGGCTGTCCTAGAACTCACTATGTAGTCAAAGCTGATCTTGAACTCCTGACCCTCCTCCAGTCTCAACTTTTCAAGTGTTGGGATGACAGACGTGCCATTGTGTCTGCCTTACCTTCCAAGAACCTTTGTTGTTTTGTCTTATTTGAAAGTCTTTCTTCTTATTTATTTATCTATTTGGTAAGGTCTCATGCAGTTCAGGCTGGCTGGGGACTTGAGGATAGCCTTGAACTTCTAATCCTCCTGCCTTCGCCTCCTAAGGGGTGGGGTTGTAGGCATGGACCACTAAACCTTTCTCACGCAGGAATGGGGACTGAAGCCACTACTTTGTGAATACTGTCTAGCACTCTACCAATTTAGCTGCATCTTCAGTCCAGTTTGAAATTTTTTTAAAAATTTTTTTAGGTTAGCATCATGGTTTGGGTTTTATCATGGCATCTTTCCAAGAACCCTTCTCTACCTCATCTTAAGAAACAACTTGGGGTCTTAAATACTACAACAAACTTGGGTAGAACTCACAAATGGCTGCCTGCATTCGCTCACCCTATGGCAAAGGCCATAAGATGAAAAGGGTTCCTGTATTGGAGGAGGGTGCCAAGCTCATGGTATTTGTCTGTGTTGATTCAGGAAGTGAGGGGCCTGTTTTCAATTCAGAATGCATCATATCTATAGAAGCCCTGGCCTGCTAAGTCCTAACTTACTGGGGTGAGGCTTTACTTGGAGCCCTTTAAGGTCCCTCTGCTTAGGTACGGAGAGCAGCCTGGAGAATGTATGGGAAGGCCTCAGATCCTGGAAAATGATTTGTGCTTTGGTGAAGAAAGGAAACCTGTCTCCCCTTCCTATGGGCTTCTGTGGGGTCTGGAAGGCAGGGGGGATGGGGGCGTGGGAGGTGCCAGCAGCCCCAGGTGATGTAGGTAAGTGTCTAATTATTCATCTCCTTTCTTCCTTTCAAAGGGAAAAGTTTCCTCCCTGTTAAAACGAATTGGCCTCTGTGGTCCAGATAAAGGATGCCTGTTCCTCAGGCATACTCAGATGGCAAGATCAGCCCCGAGAATGGCAGATTCTCTTTAACTGCTTGTGTCACTGACAGCCGAGGACACAAGTGTAATAAACTGTCCAGTTGTCTGTCCCTCAGAGGTCTTTCCCACTATAGGACTATCCTTCAAAGGCTTCACTAACACTGCCCACCTAGGGTACAGCGGCAGAGCACACACCTAGTATGTGCAGGCATGTATTTCTAGCATGGGGGGGAAAGGACAGAAGGCACTGCTGAATGTTTTGTCATCTGCCAAGTTTCATTTGAAATCCTTTTGAAGTTAAGATTAAACCTGGTGTCAAGTTACTCCAACCTCTATTCTCATTCACTGAGTGTTAATGAACCCAAGGCCATAGCTGGTCTCATTAAATCCCCAAAACAACTCTGCAGAGGAGGGAATAGTTTATAGATAAAAAGGAGGCCAAGAGAGAGGTTGCTTTGCCCCAGCTCTCCCAGGATAGAGCTGGCTGGGAAATTGTTCTCCCCACTGAAGCCTACTTATTTTTCAAAGACATGCCACTGTATCTGCTGGTCATGGTGGGTGAACACTTGTAATCCCCTCACAGGAGAGGTAGAGGCAGAAGGCTCAGAGGTTCAAGGCTAGCTTCAACTACACTGTGAGTTCAAGGCTAGCCTGGGGTACATGAGACGTTATCTCAAAAAAAAAAAAATAGTGACAAAAAGATTCTCCTTTTGAATCTTTGGGAGGACAGTGCTGCCAGGAGCTCATGTTAAAAACTGAGCCAGTAATCCCTGGATGCATGGCTTTGGGGGACTGCAGACAGCTGATATAGTGACCCCGATACTTGATGGTGGCTGTGAAACTCTTGGATGTGGGTCATGCTGTTTATTAGCTGTTCCAAGGTCAGGTTTGACTGACTGCTTTCAGAAATGTGGATGGGGGTGTCAGGGACTGTCCTGCAGCGCCGCCATTATCTGTACTGAATTACCCATAGAAGTTTGTGTGCAAGATTTTATATTCTAGTGTCGTTTTGTTTATTTTGAGACAGTGTTTCTGAAAGGTTCAGGCATTATGCTGGCCTGCCCCTGTTACCTGGTGGAGCAGGCAGTACCCTGGTCAGCCCAGGGGTCCATGGGAAATAAGTCTGCACGCAGGTGTAGAGGACCCCTTTAAAAGACAGATCCCTGCCCATTTACGCTCTCTCTAAATTCTCTACTCTTCTCCTCTCCTCTGCTTCTGCTTCTCTTCTCTCTCTCACTCTATGATGACTGGCCATGGTGGTCAGCCATTAACCATGTTTCTCTTCTCCTTTAGTCTCCCTACTCTGCGGGGCCTGTAATAAACTGGTTAATATGTCTAATAGTCTCTTAGTCTTACTCATCCACCTCTTTTCTTCATTATTTCTAATTTAAACAAAAAATTAACAGTCTCACTGAAGGAACCAGCTTCCCTTTTGGCAGCCATAACAGCCGAACATGTGCTTCTATGACCTTGTCCTAGTCACTAGAAAGTCAGATGCCTGCCTTGTGACAAGGAACCAATCAGAAGTTAGCTGGTGGCGCTATGCTTTACGACCCTGGGTGTGCTTTACGGACTAGCGCACAGCAATGACGTAGAGAGCATAGCAACCACCCTGGGAGGGCCTATGGGCCATAACAACCAGTTGACCAATCAGCACAGGGCAAGCCCTCCAATCCTGGAAGCATACCAATCGTGAGCCTGTGCATACCCCTAGACACTCCCCTTACGCTGCCCTATAAAGATCCGTACGCAGCAGCTTCAAACCGTCTTTGCTAGCCATCCGCCATGGTGGGTGGGTCAAAGACCCGAGCCAACATGGGGTTAGCTCGTTAAGTTACAAGAAAGCCTTGTGCAGTTTGCAGCAAGCTCTCGAATCCGCCTGGTGATTGGGGTGACCGAGAAGGTGGCCTGGGACCCCGGATACTTGAGTTTTCGGGGGTCTAACATCACCATGTTATTTGTAGCCCTGGCTGGCCTAGAACTCTGTAGACCAGGCTAGTCTGGGCAGTGGTGGTGCACACCTTTGATTCTAGCACTTAGGAGATAGTGGCCGGCAGATCTCTGTGAGTTCAAGACCAGCCTGGTCTACAGCTAGAATTCCAGGACAGCCAGGGCTACACAGAGAAACGCTGTTTCGGGAAACAACAACAACAAAGCCCACAAACGAAACAAACAAACAAATCCCCAAATAAACAAGAATTTAAAGGTATAGTTTAGGCTGGCCTGGAACTCCTGATCCTCCTACCCCTCCTGGTATGCCATTGGGTTTGGTAAAGAGTGACTATTGCTTCCCTGTGGAGTTCTGAGTGTCCGTTGGTTTACCAGAGCATGGTGCCTTGCACATGACACATTGTTTGTTATCTCTGTTGTAATGGTAGGGGTGCCAGGAGAGTCTTTTAACTGTGTTCTTTCTACAGGTCAGGGCGGTGTCTGAATAGCAGGTGGTGCTGTGTTCTTTGAGATAAACATTGATGTTTACAAGGCTGTGCTGTCCACCCCACTTCTGTATCTGTACCTCCTAGACCAACTTCTTAGACAGCAAAATAAACAAAGTAAAGAGGGCAGGGGTCCACAGAAGGGTAGGCTCTGTTGTGTGTGGGGGGGTGGGGTGGGGGTGGCTTCTGGCTACAGTTTGTCTGCAATCGAACTTTTCAGTCATTAAAGTTCTACCCAGTAAACATGCTCTGGAGAAATCTTTGAATGCATGGCTCTGTGCTCTAGTTTAAACTCAGCTAATGACTGAGATGATCTTCGTTACAGCTTGAATTAACAGAATAAACGGAGGTGGGGTGTATAGATTGTGGTTTAGCACTGGCCTAGCATATGGGGATCTCCACCTGAATGCAGCACTGCCAAAACAGTCTTTCCAAACTGATGTGTGGGTAGACAAGATATGCTGGTGAACTGCACAGGCGACTGATCAAACACTCGACATTTTTATGACCCCCAAAACAAGCTCTGTACCTACTTCCTGGTGTGGGCTATATTCTTGTTTTTTTTAAATGAACCATAAAAATGAAGGGCAATAAAATCTTGGTTTTTCTTTTTCTTTTGGATTTCTATTATTGTCGGTCAGATTTTATTAAGGAATAACATTGGGCTGGCAGATAGCTCAGTGGGTAGAACACACTTGCTTCGGAAAGCCTGATAACCTACCTGAGTTCAATCCCTGGAATTTACAGCTCCAGTAAGTGGCCTCTAAGCTTGGTGCCCCCTTTCTCAATAAAGAAATGAATGTAAAAAGCAGATCCGAAGAGCAACTATGACCATTGACAGTTCTCTTGAGCATTCTAAAATACTTGGAGTTACTGGGTTGGGCCTCAACAGAATTGGATCACAGTGGCTGGCGGTTGACTTCTTTCATACCTGGAATGGGAATGCGGAAAAACCTGAGGCGAGTAGGGCTAGTGTGTGGATGTAAATTAACTACCAATAAAACTGTGGAGAGAAGAATCTTTGATGGCCGCTGCCCTGAGGTTCATCGGGTTTGAGTCGTTGATAACCTTGTCAAACCCAAAGATAAAGGCTGGTCTTGTCACCCCGGGCACCTGGCTGAGGTAATAACAGCGTAATCTCCTGAGGGTGGAAGCAGGCCAGGCTCTGCCTTCGGTAATTACAGCTCTAGAATTGCCGTCCTCTACTGAGAAACCAGGATGGGGAGGGCAGGAAATTGTGTTTGTTTCTGTCCTTGGATTTAAAAGAGAAAGCAAGCAAAACAAGGACAAGTTCTCCAGGTAGTGAGAAAAACAGCCAGGGGCTGGGCTCCCCTCACTCAGGGTTAACCAGCTTGCAAACTGTCAAGTAAAGAGGCTCAGCTGCTGACAATAATCCCCAAACTTTAAGCAGGAGCCTTCCCTTCTAAATGTAAATAGCCAAGTCACTGCTTTGCTAAGCTGGGAAGGAAGTTACCCGAGCACCTAGTGACTCATTTGTTGCCTTGCACTCTGGCAGTAGGGGAAAAAAAAGTTTACGAAATGCAAGAAATCGGCTTTAAATCCCAGCTCTGTAAGGGAATTCCTCCCCAACGGGGTGAAAGCCATCCACACAAAAGAGCCCCTGTTGACATCTCATTTACAATCTCCCCTAGGACACAGACAAGACTGCCTCAATAAACCCGGCTCAGAAACACCCATTGTTCAAAATCTTCCATTAGCACCAGGCTACCATCACCCTAAGGCTTTGCAAAAGAAAAGATTTGGTTGGAGGAAGCCTGGGACTGGGGAAACTGAAAAGGCAGGAAACTGTCCTTTGATCCTGGCCGTCCAAGAGTGCATGCATACAGAATAAAGTTAATGGCATTTCCGTATTATTTTTCCCAAGAGAAGCCTGGGAGAGTCCCAAACGAGTGATCGTGAACTCTAAATTTGATGTCACTTCTATGCAGAAACTTCTGTGAACAGGATTGCTAAACAAAGAGACTATGCTCTACCTAACTTATGTACCCTCAGCCTTGTGAAACCTGATACTGCCGCAGCTTAACACAGCTGAGTCTGTTAGAGCCCTTTGTTCCGAGCAGTCAGGCCTCAAACCTGTCCACAGAGTTCTTGAGCAGCCCCACCATTTTGGTCCCTCATCTCACTAAAGCTTGAAAGCTCCCGGAATGATATAGTGCTGTTGTTTGGATACACCTTAAATTCCGTTTGGGTTTGTCAAAAAAGGAGGTGGGATTTAAAAACAAACAAAAAAACAAATTATCTTTACCCTCCTAAGCGACCTTCCGGTTAACATGTCTAGCCCCAAATCCATGGCATTTGTGTATTCTGGCCATTCTCTTTCTGATCTTCCTGTCTCTTAGGTCATTCTGGAATCATTCTGTGTCCTATCTGACCCTTTCTCGGTCTCTAGGTCTTTCTATTTATTAACCCGACTCGGGAGTGTCACAGCCATTTCCTCAGGTCTCTACAGCTCCAGGTTGTGATTTATTAATGAGTCATGAGATTGACAGAGGTGAGTCATGCAGTTTCACTATTCAGAAAGGAAAACATTTAAATAGAAAATACCAGAATGCCCTCATGGGTTAGGAAGCGTATTGTTGCGTGAAGCATGTTTGTCCGGATCTGTGTACAAAGTAGGCAACAGGTCAAATGCTTTTGTTTGTCAAAACTATTTTATAATTGGCCACCCTGTAGGTCTTGTCCCTGCTTCCAAACTATTGTATGTACTTAGAGCCATGGTGAAAACGTGGCATGTACAGCCTGTCACTGAGGCTTACGAATGTTCCCCAGGAGGAAGGAGTCCCATCTGGGGCTGAGGAAACTCTTGCTCCCCAATTCTGCTAGCCTTCAGGCATACAAATTTCCTCACTTTGCCCTCAGGCATTCAAATTTCCTCACTTTGCCCTGGGATTCCAACTGTGGAGGTCTTTCCTTCTGTTTCCTGTCCTTCCAAATGCCTCTCCACCCTGCTCTTCTGGCCTGACAGGGCAGTTGTTACTAAATTCTATTATCTTTTTAGTTCCTTCTGAGTTAAAGCCCCCAAGAGGGCATTCCATTAGCAGATGTGTGACCTGAAGGGTTGCCTAGGGGATGGGTTCACTTTCCATCCCACCCTAATCTTGGTTTTCTCTGTTGGGAAGATGTCTTTATGCCAGAAGTCCCTCCTCCTTCAGGTGAGCTGGCCAAAGCCGGTTGGATCTGATAGGCAGCTAGAGTAACTACAGAAAGCCCTCTGCATGCTAAATGACACAAGTCCTCCAAAGTCACTACGTTTGTCAGCTGCCATGGCAGCGGCAGGGGGGGAGGGGTGATAAGGAGCAGCACTGAGCTCCTTAAGAAGTCAAACCTTCATCACCCCTAAAACAGACATAGGCGCTCCTCTATATTAGCGTGTTCTTTCTCTCACTCTGGCTTAACCTCCCAGCCCCCAAGGATGGAAAAGTTGATTTTCTTTCTTTCTTAAGATTTTATTTATTTATACAGTCTTCTTTCTGCCTGTACGCCAGCAGAAGGCACCAGATCTCATTCAAGGTAGTTGTGAGCCACCATGTGGTTGCTGGGAATTGAACTCAGGACCTCTGGAAGAATGGTCAGTGCTCTTAACCGCTGAGCCATCTCTCTGGCCCAGGGAAAGTTGATTTTCATCACTCATTTCTCCTATTCTTGGACCAGGTTGATGGATTCCTCTACTGATGTCTAAGACAGATATTGCGGCTGGAGATCCATGCAGGTTCAGAGCTGTCTCACAGCAAGATGTCACGTGGGAGTAAACTCAAGAGCGCTCAAAACCAGCTGGGACCAGCTTGGTGAGATGACAGCTAACTGCTTCTATGCCCCCACCTCCTTTTGTTTTTGTTTTGTTGTTGTTGTTGTTGTTGTTTGTTTTTGAGACAGGGTTTCTCTGTGTAGCTTTTGGAGCCTGGAACTCACTTTGTAGACCAGGCTGGCCTGGAACTCACAGAGATACACTTGCCTCTGCTTCCCAAGTGCTGGGACTAAAGGCGTGCATCACCACTCCCCACCTAAATGCCCCTTACTATGGCATCTCCATAGTACCAGCCTTGCAAAATTCCTCTTGCCATCCATCTGGCTCCATGGCACATCCCCAAACTCCATATAAGAACAGAAAAGAGATGTAAACCCTATTCCAGGAATCCCTACCCTGCCCACCGCCATGACTTTTAATCTTCCCTGTGTTATAAGGCGCCTGGTTAGTCCCAACTGTTAGCCATCAGACTAGCATCCCCTCCCCCCTCTGGAGTGCAGGGGCCAGGACTGTGAAAAGATATGGAAGGCTTGCTCTCAAGCTGAGTGTAATAGCACTTGAGAAGAGGGGGCTCTAAGATCGGCAGTTCAGGACCAATCTGGGCTATTGCATGGTGGTGAATTTGAGGCCAACCTGGTCTCAGAGGACTGAGAGATGAAGAGACCTTTCCAAGGCCAAACAGCTTCTTAGGAGTAGGAAATTAATGCTGTGTAGGTTTTAAATCAATTCAGGAACGCTGGAGATTAGATCCAGGGTATGGGGGGCGGGGTATGCTAGGCAAGGACTCTGTCTATAGGGTGGCAAGTGAGATGGCTCCGCTAGTACAAGCACTTGTGTTGGGTCCACGGTGGAAGCAGACCACAGACTCCACAAAGCTGTCTTCTGACTTCCACATACTCAAGGCGGCACACGTGTGTGGTGCACTCAGTTCCTAAGCTTCGTAAGAATCCATAATCCTTACAGACACATACACTCATACACACAAGGGATCTAATACTCTTTCTTTTTTCCCTCTTTTCTACCTCTCTTCCTTCTCTTCTGTGATGCTGAGAAGCTTTACACATGCCAGGGAGATGCTCTACTGCCGAGCCACACCCTCCAACCCTAGAGACACAGCATTAGCAGTTAAAATACATCAGGGCTTGGATACAAAAGGCCGTGACTTCCACCCAGGTTCTGGAAAGAAAGAAAGGAAAAAAGAGAGAGAGAGAGAGAAAGAGAAGAAAGAAAGGGAGGAATAAGGAAAAATGAAGGAAGAAAGAAAAAAGGAAGGAAGGAAGAGAAAGAAAATAGGAGTTCCTGGTGGCTTCCACTTTGGAGCTCTCCCCAGGTGGAATGCAGCTGGACCTGGGTGGGTGGCAACTATGATAGTCCCCTCACTATCCACACTCCTCTGACTTCAAGGGCCTGGTACTTTTCCTCCTTCGACCACATCTGCCCTTGAAAGGTTTTAAAAAGCAACCTGAAAGACCGGGGTGATAACTCAGTGTAAGAGCTTGCCTTCTATGACTAAGGACCTAGGTTTAGTCGCTAATACCAATGGGAAAGGGGGGGGGGCAGAAACTGAGTGCCATTACATGCTTATATGAGAAAAGTGCATAATACAATCAATACTACAAAGCCAGGCGGTGGTGGTGCATGCCTTTAATCCCAGCACTTGGGAGGCAGAGAGACAAGTGGGTCTCTGGGAGTTCGATGCCAGCCTAGTCTACAAAGCTACACAGAGAAACCCTGTCTCGAAAAACCAAAAATAAAATAAAATAAAATAAAAAATATAGAAAAAAGAAAACAATCAATACAATATAATAGATCAATACATAACATAGTAATTAATATTAATAAGTAATATATTCATAAAATTAAGGAAAAGGGGCCGGAGAGATGGCTCAGCGATTAAGAGCACTGCCTACTCTTCCAAAGGTTCTGAGTTCAATTCCCAGCAACCACATGGTGGCTCACAACCATCTGTAATGAGATTTGGTGCCGAACACTGTACACATAATAAATAAATCTTTTTAAAAAAATGAAGGAAAAGATGGGCTCAAAAAACACAGGCACAAAGACCAAACAGCATCCATAATGGCTTCTTGCTTGAGCACATCCAAGTGTCTAAAGAGATAGTCTTGTGGTTATTTGTTATTAACTGGAGAAATAACTGGAATTCTTTTTAGAGTTGAAAGTAAGCATGTTATGAGCTCACACCTGCAATCCCACCACTCCAGAGGCTGAGGCAGGAGGACTGTGAACTCAAGAACTGCTAGGGCTACATAGCTACTTCCAGGCCAGCTTGGACTATGTAGCCAGATCCGATCTCACACATAAAAAAAATAAAATAAAATAAAAATAAATAAAGCAGAGAGGGAAAGATTGAAGAACTTTCTGCTCCCAAACACATTGTACTGGCACAGTATCCCAAAGATGCCAGAATTTCTTCGTGCCCTTCTCTGGATGTAGGCCCTAGTGGCCACTTGGAGAGAAATCTATTTTTTACCCCTTCCCCCCCCCCCCCCCCCCCCCCCCCGTCTCTTCCCATGTCTTTTACAGAAAGGAAGTCCCTGTTGTCAGGGGCAGACCATGTTATTTACTCTCTAGCTTGGGTTTAGATAACCCATAGTATAAAACAGAAATCACTCCTTTTGGGCGTGTGGCCACATTCCTTTGAAAACTGTCCTTGGCAAGGCCGCCTCCCCTCCTTTTTGTTTGACACTCTTTTAAGTTTCAAAACCATACCTGAGTGATTAAAGATGCTCAGTGCCACAGAATCTTTAGATTTACAGACCCTACCCCCAAACCATATGAAGACAGTCAGCTAACACCAGAATGCACTCCTTATTTTTTTTTTTTTTTTTTAGTTCTGTGCCTGAGTAACACAAACATGTAAAGTTCTAGGGGTTATAATTTCTAGAAAAGTGATGCGTGCAACAGACTATAGACCAGCGCTACCAGTGGAGGTCGTCCATGGCATTATGCTGGCCAGAGAAGAGAAGGACAGGCATGGCCTGGATAGCGCACTCATTCAGCCTAGCGATGCTGACCGCCTCCTTCCCTTCTCCAGCCCTTTGTGTTGAGTTCTTAAGATGGAATGTTGAGGACGACAGTGTCTGTCTTCTCCAGTCTAGCTGGCTCTTTAATAAAGAATATATATATATATATATATATATATATATATATATTTGTTTATTATGTACACAGTGTTCTGCCTGCATTTATGCCTGCAGGCCAGAAGAGGGCACAAGATCTCATTATAGATTGTTATGAGCCACCATGTGGTTGCTGGGAATTGAACTCAGACCACTGGAAGAGTAAGCAGTGCTCTTAACCTCTGAGCCATCTCTCCAGCTTGGCACAATTATATTTAATATGCACATGAATACCTATGCCTATTCTATCAGTAGGTATACATTCTACCAATGAGCTGGATTCTGTCTGAAGGACTCAGTTGGTCAATTTTTCTGTTCTAGAATCATACTATTTCCCAATAGGGGTGAAGGCTGAAGGACACAGGAGGTACTGGGTTCAGGTTTTTTTTCTAACACCCACCACCCAACCTTACCCCCACCTCTGTAACCTATACACACAGTGAAGTCTTTTACATTTTCCCTTGAATGAAGGAAGATTTGTAATTTGTTACTAAGACAGTTGGGAGTTACACTGCATGGCCTCCAATGCAAGATCAGAATGTGTAATGCAAATTCTAGCAGCCCTGTGGTCCTAAGGCCGTCATGCTGTTAGGAAGCTCGGGTCAGCCTGTGAGAAAGACCATGTGGGGAGGCCTTGAGTCTACAGAGGGAGAGATGCCGTGATGACCCAGATGTTCTAGCTCCCACTGACTGTAAGACCAGGAGAGACCCTGAGCCAGAACCACCAAAACCAGCCAAAAGCCCTCCCCAAATTCCCTTTTCTCAGAAACTGACAACTAACTGATAAAATGTTTACTGTTGTTTCACATTGCCAAGTCTGTGGTTGAACTGTTACATAGAAATACACACATCATTGCTCTTAAACTAATGACTGGCAGAGGTGTCATGCAAACCAGGTTGCTATGACAGGGCAAGACTGTGCATAGATTCCTCCGTCTTTTATTTTTGATGAAGATTGGATCCCCTTGATGGAGAATTCCATGGAAAATTACCCAACTCTATTCTAGGGATCCAAGGTCAAGCTGACCCAGCTAGCTTATCTTAGCTTCGGTTAAACGGCCTGCTTGTACAGACATTCCCCCCCACCCACACACACACAACTCCAGTCAACTGCTTATCTTAGCTTTTGTTAAACTGCTTGCTTGTGTAAAACTTCTCCCTGTAGTTGCTGAGCAAAATGCCAGGATGTGGCTTTTACTTTAAAAACCCCTTTATCATAAATACATGGTTCTACACTTGGGTCCTGAACACCAGAGTGTAGTTCTAGCCATTTAGAATAAAGACTTACAGTTGGTTATAAACTGTGTTTGAGTGGTTGTCTCTGGTGGGCTCCCTGTAACATTTTTTGAAGCCCCAGCAAGATTTCCCAGAGACTGGACCCAGACACTTAGGGGCCTCAGGACCCCCAGAAGCAGGGAAGGGTATGCCAACTGGAGAAGACTCCTAGGAGAACCCTGAGAATATACTCTCCGGCCGATAGCTGTTAGTTGTTAAGTGCCCCACAGATACCCGGTGCTGCCACCCAAAAGATGGTAAATCCAAAGTCTCCCAGTTTGAGCATCTCTGGAGGTAAGTTTGGTCTGTAGGAGGTGCTGTCTGAGTAGGACACAGAGGGGAAGTCAGATGTGACCTAGGTCCAGTGCTCAGGAGCCATGTGAGAAGTCAGTGGACTTCTGTGGATTGTTCAGGTGTCTGGATGTGTGGTGGCCACCCCTGGTTGTGTTTACTGTGTGTCTCCCTGTGGGTTTCTGTCAGTTCTATTGGTTGGAAAAACAGATCTAAAATGGGAGAGGGGTGAGCCATCCTCAGACTGCAGCTGTCTCTGCCCCCAAAATAGTGGACTATTTGCTGCAGTCTATGATGGTCTGGCCACTTGCTCTGTGACACCTGTGGAAGGCAA